GGGGTTTGTCACTGCATGGACTAAGGCTCAAACTGCCAGATTCCTCCCACAGACCCAGCACCACACTTACCCTTGGAAATAGCATCAGGCTGGCAGCAGAGGCTCTGACCTCTTCAGGGGTCACCCTGAAGCCAGAAGAGGAGAGCAGGGCAGGAAGGCAGGCTGTCATTCTAAGAACGGTCTCTTGGTAGTTGGAGAGCAAGTTTCCTTTTGTGCCTAGGGACAGTCCCCATCACCCCTTTGTGGCAGCCTCTGCGGACCTCAGCTCCACAGCTGGGCATCTGCCCCCTGCAGAAGCCCAACAGCTTAAGGCATTTGCCATGGAGTTCGTTTAGAAACTCACGGTTGTAGTCTCTTGCTTGTTTATGAAATAAGCCCTTGCTGATGGGTAAAATGAAGCGCTTCAGACTTGTGGAGGGTTTCAAGGGTGTCTAGACCGTGCAGCTAGGTGTAGTTCTGAATCTCCTCGGAGAATCCCTGTCAGCTCAGGTCACACTCAGGACTAAAGGACTTCTCTCCCAGGACAGGTCATCCCTCCAAGGAGAGATGTAGACAGCTCCTAACTGAACAGCTGAGTCTTCCAAGGGTTTGTCCATGAGGACACCCCCCTCCCCGGCAAAGCACCTGGTCCTCCTCAACAAGGTAACCTTCTGAGGCCGACCACGGGGGAGGCAGGAGGAGGCACCTGGTGTTATCCGCCTGCCCCATGGGAGGCTGAGCTCCTCCCCAGCGACTGGATGGGCCCTGCCAGGTGGAAGGACTTGCATGGCCATATAGTCGCCACTGGCCCTATTCTCCACTTGGGATCTGCTCACACAGTGAGGACGGACGTCCAGCCAGGGGCCTGCTAGTTCCATGTCTTTCTTTATTCGGGCTATAGTCTGCCAAATCAATTTTCTTTCTTTTTTTTCTTTTTTTTTACTTTTTCACTGATATGATGAGTAACTTGACTGAACTCGTAGCCAGTGGGTCTTGTACAGATCCTGGGCTCCTCTTATCCACTTGTTTTCTGTTCCCCATGATCCATCCCACCTTCCCCTGGCTGCTGGTCTCAGAGCTGCAGGTCCGTAGGAGCTGGTCGATACACCAAAGCACCAAGAGGGTGGCAGGTGACCCACTGGGCCCACACTGGCTGGAACAAGGGGGTCCTCAGCTCTGTGCATGGCCGCCCCTCCCATTCTCTACAAAAGCAGTTCTGTGAGATGAGTTCACTCAGGATTCAGTGGCTGAGGGTTCTAGGCTCTGGTGCCGAGGGAAGGCTGACTGACCATCAGCAACCTCCTGCCTCTAGTTGGTCTGTATTTCAGGAGAGGCCAGAGGGGCAGGAGAGGCCCTAAGTCCTGGCAGGCTCCACAAAGTATCCGAGGGTTGTCCTCGCGATCTGTCTGGTTCAGTAATCCATCTGAGCCAGGCAAGCAGGCAGAGACAAGGAGAAGGCTGAAGTCAGCCTATGGACTTGAGTTTTCTATGAAATACCGCTGAAATTGTAAATATGTAGATTTCCTGCCTGTCCTCCTATGGCGCAGCGTTGTTGATCTATTAAAAGCAACCCTTCTGTCTTGAAGCTACCTCAGTAAATGATGGTACCTCAAACCTGTGTCTTCAGCTGGTGTCGCATGTCTGGGGCTGGTCATCCAGGGGCTTCCCCTTTGCTGGGGACAGCCCATCATGCTCTGCAACCCTTGGACCTTGTGTGTGTGGTCTGGACCATGGAGAGTCAAGCTCACGGGGGGTCAGGGGTTGGTTCTAAGCACTCAGCCCAGGGACCCACCCTTCACTGACTCCATCAGGAGGTCAGAACCCAGAAGAAGGTCAGTCTTGTACTTCGCCTTCTTGCGATGGTCCCACACCCATTAACCTGCAGGAGCCATAGGGGCAAGGGAAGGATCATGGGTATGGTCTAATAAGTAACAGACATCCCAGAGGTGGGAGGGGGACTGGAAGAAGTGAGAGAGTCCAAGGAAAGGGACCTTGACTTCAGTTAAATGCCAAAGCAGCCCAGTGTGTGCACATCTGGGTGGAGGTTGAAGGGCACGTGTCACTACCCCTGCTCTGATTTCTGCTGCACCAACTCTGCATCACCTTGAACTTAAGAACAGTAGCAAAATTTCGCCTGCTGTCAGAGGGTAGGTGAGTACTCCAACCTGAAAAGAGCGTGCCTTTCTCCACCCCACACCCTTTAAATAAGCAGTACCAGATGTGACCCTTTCCTCCTGAGCTGGCTCCTCTGCATGAGCAGCAGCCCACCTGCTGACCCAGCGCTGCTGAGCTGAAACTATGAAGGAGGCAGGAGTTGCAGGGGTGGCCGGTCAGGTGTGCACTCCTTCCCTAGGGGCCTGACCCTGGTCCCCGTCACTGAGGCACTGTCCCCACTACTCACTGCTTCTCCAGGCGCTGTCTGGAGGCCTCCAGGAGCATCCTGGGAAATGCAAGGGAGGCTAGCCTGGTAAGAGGCAAAGCTGTTGCAGGGCCTTTGGAGGATGCTGTTCCTGTCACTCAGTATAGGAAAATAAGAGGACACCCCAGGCTCAGAAGCCAGGGACAGACTGTTCTGTCACTCTCCTGAAGATGCTGGCGAATACAAACACAAACTCGGGCAAAGCCGTAGCCTCTGGATCCATTGGTTCACATCTGCCCACCAGACACAGCTGAGAAGTAAGCAGGGAGGAACGTGGGGCCAGGAAGTCCTCCCAGAAACCAGCAAAAAGAAGGCAGAAGTGAGGTGTGCGCACATGGGACACAAGCGAGCAGCAGATGGATTTCATGGAGTGTGATCCTGGGGAGAAACATGTGGCATTGGGAGAGACTTGGATGGTCCCCACAAGGGAGGAGGGGCAGAGGGGCCAGAGAAAATTGCCAGGGCTGCAGTTCCCTAGGCATCCCGATGAGTGAGCTGGCTGCAAGAGAGCCAACCAGGGCTAGATTCTGACCCGGGGCCCCATATCTGGGCACAGTAGTTTGACATATTAGGGACTTTTACTTTCTTGTTCATCTCTGTAAGGAGGGACTCTAAATAGTCGAATGACCCTGACCACACGTGCTTACTGTATTCTGTCTGATAAATGTCTTTTTTTTTTTTTTTTGTCTCCTGACGAGAAGTAAGGACTAAGTTCTTAATCTCTCAGATGGACCAGAAATCTTCCTTGCAAAAAGACCAATTGAATTTGGAAAAATTAGATCTACCTAGCAAAGACCTACCAAGATAAATGCAGCAGAGCCTTGCTTTGCTTTGAAGAAATAAATACTTTCTGCAGAAAGCACCGATAACCTTCAAGATATGAATGAAAAGTCCATGATAACCTGTCTAAACTAATTGCAAAATTCCTGCTTTGTTTTGGCATCAGTGTTTGTTCTTATGGGGTTCAGAGATTCTCTGAGGACCAGAGCTGACACACACTGGGTCTGGGCCATGAGACTGGGCCAGCGATTTCTAAAATTCCCACCTCGCCGGTTCCCAAGGGCCTCCTGGCAGTGACGACACTGTGCTGGCTGCCCCCTCTGTTACGGATCATGGCTGGGTAAGCATCCTTATAAGCAACAAATTACATCTGGAAGCTAAAATGTGAAACTATCAAGATGGCTCAGGAGCAGAAGGAGTGGGTCCACTGTTTTTTGGACCTTTTTTTTTTTACTTTAGAATTATTCTAATCTCATACAGAATGTATACCTTTGAGAACGGACAGTTTTTTCATTCTTGTGCTACT